TAGCTCTAAATTTCTACATGTGTCGTTTGTACAAATCTTCATTCAAGCCAAGTCGTAGACTTATCACACTGACCAATTTAACATATTATATTGTTATCATCATGACATTCTTAATGGCCCGTCAACACATAAAAGGCCATTAGTGCCATCAACCGGTAAAACACACAGCGATCCAAAAAGAAGTAACATTAAACAAAGCAAAAGGTAGAAGACAAATGCTAAAAATCTTGAACTGGTACATTAACACAAAATATTAAAATGGTACGTCATATACTATTATAAAGACCAACATCAGGTAATGTAGAATTTTACAAATCTCAACAGTTTCAAAAAGGGTTTTAAGATATGTAATGTTACGATAAAAACATGCTCGAGTAGACAGAAGGTCAATGCAGTCCAATAAGTTTTACAAAAAGATTCAATCCATTTGAGGATTATTGATGGTTTGATGACAAATGTATCAACTTCCGTTGTTTTAAGCACTGAACTGTTGTCTGTTTACCCCATTGATCACAATAAAGCCATGCAAATATTTGACAGAACCTCAATAATATCTCATGTCCCTGCAAATATGACGACAAATCTGTAACACTTAAAATGATATTTATTGCTGCAATCACTCTTTTTTCACAAACGCTTCCATACTCAAACAAACCCTAGATACTTTACCGGTTTTTATGGCGAATAATTTTGATCAATAAAAGTTTTATCTGTGGAAAAAATCATATATATGCATCGTCTGTCTCGCAACAGTAACATAACATGGCAATTTATTGCAAGTTTCGATGTGGTGTTTTATTGCGACAAATTAAATTCAAAATATTAGCATATTTGACATAATTATTAAAATAGATGAAATTTCTGTGCACGTTACTGCATGTTATGTTTATTTGAAACAGATTTCCATAATACCATGAAAACTAAATATTGAAATCATTTTCCATATGAGCTTTTCACGGGTTGGAAGACATAAACACCGAAAGTATTACAAAAATGGTGTTTCTTCCGCGAAATGGTTGAATGATAATCAAACATAGAATTTACTGTATACAAGGGTGAGACAGGAGGTCATATATCAAAAGTGAGCTTTTTCTCTCTGCTACAACAATGACAACGGAGAAACTCTAATTAAAGCCAGTATGTAATCGATTTTCGTTCTTTTCATTCTATTGAAATATTGTGTTTGACAAAAACACCAAATGAATATTTCTGAAATGCACAAGGATATCAAAACACAAAGAAACGGGGATTTTTGTATAGTATTGATAATATCTAGAGAAATGCAATATAGTTCAAATTGCAAATAACCACGAACAAGAAATGGATTTGTGCATTCGGAAACCATGCTAATATTATTGTAAAATAGACACACAATTGCAGAGAGGTCGGATTTTAAAAGCGTGTAAGGATACTCTGGAAATTGTTGAAAGAGATAAAACAAAAAAAATCATTGGGACATTGTTAGTAAGTGAAATCAAACATTGGAAAATATGTCTGTACAAGATATAGACGGAGAACGTAACACAATTCATTTCTGGTATTGGAAAACATAGTAGGAATGAAATTTTGGATATTACTAAATGAATGACATCTACGTCTAATATTATGAGTGTATAAAAATAACTAATGCAGTTCATATACTTCTTTCTAGAAATTATAAAAGGCACATTGTGTTGAATACATCATATAATATTTCTATGAAATCAATGTTTGACTAAACTGTTACGTAGATGCTAACAAGCTCACGGTAGTACCGGATAAAATGATTTACTTATCGAATTCTTTTCTTAGGCGAAAGATATATGCGTTGACAAACAATGCGTTCGGAAAGGTCAAAGGACTCATAACATCTGTTGTTCTGGTATTTATTGATTTCATAGAGTAGGTAACCGAATTTTCCATTCAACTATTTCTCCCGGTCACCAGGTCATCAGCTTGCTTGCTTGTTTGTGGTTTTGTGTCCTCGCAAAAGCTAAGGTCACGTGAAAACCGGTATCTACAGAAAATGGAGCCACGCATGTTAGCTTTCCTAGTGCAATCCCACTGAAGTATCTTAATCAATTCATCCGTTTTAGGCCTATAACATCACCAAAGGGTCCTTGAGAAAGATTCAGTTTAATTCATCATTTGGTCCTACTCTCATTCTTCATTTGTGTAGAAAGATGTTAATGATTTGGATGTCTGTTGTACAGTCTTCGAGACTGTAGGTGGTAGACGCTGCTAGTTGATTTTTTATCCCAGGGGTTAACTGTAACCTTTATGTTGCTATGTCACATCTTAATAAATTCGCATAGTAACAAGTTTCTGAAGATACTTGTTCTTTTCTAATTATCAGATATATAAAGATTGCTATTTTTAAATCATGCGGTTAGTGTACTTCCCCATATTGATTTTGACGTTTCTGTTTTTTTTCCAAATTTCGTTTTCTATAATCGCCCCCCACCCCCAAGCATAAATATTTAGGACCTTGGCATCATTAACGAGTTTTAGAAGAGCGAAACGGCTTTATAATGCATGATTCAATATTTGGCTTTACTGTATCTAAGTTCAAATTTGAAATGAAAGTTGCTATTCACTTTTGTGTTTTCTGAACAATCATCTTACAGTACTTCTCTTCTACCTAGTCTAAAACTGTATAATGTCATGCGCTGGGGCTCGCTAATTGTGTAGCGGTGGTCTGCGACTCAAATGTTAAACAAAACAAACAGGCTCGTTAAATTTGGGATAAGAACAACTGTTAGTACGGAATAAAATTACTGATTAAGCTAAACCAATGTACTTCTATTACAAACCGTAATTCTATTAGTTTGGTTTCAACTCTGCTAAATTACGTTCAAAATTAGAATACCGGTCGATAGGCTCGGCTTATTGTGCTGAGTTCGCAGGATAATTTGTGGATGTACTATCGTCGGGACCCTCAAGGATTCTCATTTCTAACCAACATAGGGAGAACCTGAGCACTTGCAGCTAAATAACCTCGTACTCTTGATCATTTTAAGTTACTTGTTCGGTATATTACAACGTACTTATATTGTAATCAAGCCCCAGGCTATTCGTCCTACCATTTTCAGTTACGTAATGCACCCAAAAAAATATGAATGCGTTCCTCGGTCATCGTTTAGTTTATTTTTATGTAATCACTGTTTTAATTGAAAGCAAATGATTTCATTCAAATACTGCCATCTTTATTGAAAATAGATTGTGTAATGAATCATATGATCAGTTGTTGTTTTATTATCCTTACGTAAATAAATTACATGTTTTTTGTCATTGTATTCGGGGATCAACATTTTCGGGGGCGGGGGTGGGGTTGGGGTTGTTGCATTTTTTTATATATAGCAATATGAGACCAATTGTAACCATTTCCTTCCGTACCTCAAGACTGTCATTGATACAGATAAATCAAAATCTGATGAAGAGATTACCCAGAAAGCCTTGGTGTGATATGAAAGCTTTTATTTTGTCATTTACGGTTTGAAATTATATTTTTAAAGGAAAATAACCTTGTACACAAAAACAAAAATGATACTATACTCAGAAATAAAACTGATACCTATAACAAGTACACGTCCATTGACGCCATCTTTAAATCACAGGAAGAGTCTTTAATTATTATAATCCGGCGAGTATTTGTCGGTTAAACCATACAGATAAGGATTTCAACGTAATGTTGTTCTATGAAGCTGCCTTTGTAATTACGCCGTATGTATTACCGAGGTAACTAAGTCCATCTGGTTATGCTAACCATATATAGCTCCTAAATCATCTGATTTACTTCTTTTTGTTTGAGATTAATCCGCCTAATCTTCTCTGACTTATTGGTTTGGGTTAATTAGAGTGGGTAGCAATTCAGCGTGAACAGATAATTACATTGTGGTATGCCGACAAAAGACCACGGGAAGTGACCTGGAAATCGAAGCAAGCGTGGTTGCCAGACTTCGATTTTGAATTAAATACAAGTAGTTTAGGTTTCCATAGTCGATGCAGTGATACCACTGGTATATTTGTACCTAGCTTCATTGCATACTAGCCAGACTCTGAAGAGTCTACCACCAACCGTATCGGAAGACACTTGTGCCTTTTCACCATAGTAACAATTATTGGTTTCCGGGTCATTCACGTACAAAATGGGCATCGAATCATGGTTTAATGGCAAATGAGACTTGAACAATGACATATTGTATCGATCAGGCATCCCTATGACATGCAACATAGGTAACAAAGTGATCTCCTGCTACTTGTCAGTTACCTGCTTGATGTAACCATATATTTCCTTCGTGTGCGAGTGCTTTGTCATAGATTTAAAGAAAAATTGTCTATTTGATGCCGTCTCATCTCTGACCTTTTTGTCCAAACTTTCTGGGCAGTAATGACTTTTTCTATGTTAATGGCCGTTACTAGTGAAATAATAATAAGTACATTTTCGCAACAGCTTAGAAATATGATGATGGTGTAGATAGCTGACGGGACTACTTAGTAAAGCTTTTATAGTGTCTTCACTCACAAATGGCAAAACCTGGAAATGGAAGCATAACACCCTGTCATATACGGACAATTTCTAGGTGTTTATTTTGATGAATTACTAAACAGTTACATGGATTTCGTTCATCAGTCTAATCGTTGTTGAATACTTGCTTTGGAATCAAACAAGGAAACTGGGAGAATACGTTTCATATTGTGTTCACTTGTATAAATGAGAAATTTAATTACTAAGAAAGGCACACGGATTGTGACAAATCTCGTAAAGTTTCAAATTTCCAGCGGGCTTGACGCTAGAAATAATTTTATCTCAGCCTCAAATTTGAATATGCCGTGTTAGTTTCTAAAAGTCGCCCGTATTGCAGGTTTTCCAATTGATAAAATATAAAGAAGTATCGGGAAAATAAAAAAATTTCTAGTATAGAATACAGGAAAAATATAACTATAAAATCATTCTATATAACATTTTTTATCATTTCAGTAAGGACGTATGATGAGTATTAGCCAATCGTGGCCACAGTATGGGATGTGACGTCAGCAAGAGTGTTGAAGTGAATGACGTCAACACTGCTGAAGACGAGGCTGCCGACTTCTCTGACAACCAAATTGACACGATACGGAGCACTTGGCCAATCTTGTCACGTGACATGGTTGGCTTCGGAGAAAAGGTGTTCCTTCGGATATTTCTGGAGGAACCTAGGATCAAAACGGTTTTCAAGAATTTTTCGTAAGTGTACAGTTTAAGCTTCAGTGGAATATGATATAGGCAATACATCAATGAAAGAATATCTTTAATAAGGAATATTAGTATTTATCAGTTAAGGATATACTGACGCATCGTGTGTTTTTTCTTATATAGAATATACTTCATAGCATAGCTGTTTATTATTTGAAATAAGTGTAAGTTAAACAGGGAACTTTATAAGACACGTTCCGGTCACCCTCTTAACAAATTGTTAAGCAACTTACATAAACAAGAGGCCATTGACCTCTTTGGACTCTGGCAACTTGTTGATTTCACAGTGCAGTATTTTCTGTCACAAAGTTAAGCCTCTATTCTTTTTAATTAACAAAATTAGGTCAATGTCAAGTTAAAGCTGTTTTGGATTTTTTATCGAAAAAAAAGTTGTGAAGTTAACACAATATTCTCTCTATGTGATGGAATACCAAACATTAAGTCAAAATACACACGTGTTCTTACCTTGAAAATATTTGTTGACCTGTCCTTTGGCTCTAGTGATGCGATAACAACAAACTATGTACGATTTGTCTTGTGGGGGTATGGCGTAAACAATCAATGGGTTCAATTTAAAAGACATGAAATTAAAATCAATCAGACCGAATTCTTACAACAACCATATATCATCAGTGATAGTAATAATAAACCTGGGTTCTTCCAATGGATAAATCCATATCTAGAGTCAGAACTGATAAAGACAAGTACAAGTATCTAATAAAAAATTAAATATACATTAATAAATAGGTATGGTGGCTGTGACGCCGTTGACAAATGCCAAATGAAATGCTGGAATATTATCAGTTGACCTGCTGTGTATTTTGAGCGATTAATGACACATTTCGAACCTCATGCTGTTTTGTTAGGATATTGCCTAAGTTAGTGGTTAACTTAAAATGCCATAACATTAAATAAAAAGACCAAGTATTTCGCTACATGGATTTAATCATAACTGTCACTGCTGTGAATACTCGCCTCCCTGAAAGACACATACGTTATGTAGGAAAGGTGAATACATAAGTGAATATCTCCAAACCAGACCGATCTACCATCACCAAATTTTATCAATACTCAGTTCGTTTTAGTGTATGGCGTCCTGGCAAATTACAAAAACTCATCTCGCCTGCTCTTAACAACATTGTACATCCGATGCACAAAAATTCCCTCTACGTTTGCAGTATAAACAGATGGAAAAATGTAGGATAAACAGAATCTAATAAATATGTTTATTTGGCGTATATTCAATGTTTGGAATGTGAACCGCTCGTGCTTCCTTGCACGGATTTAATTGGTTAAAAAAACTTGCAAGGTTGGAGGGTCATATTAAGACTAATTGTAGATCTATCCGTGGTCAGATTGAATTAATATGTAATAGACTGAACGCAGATGTAGTTATTCCCTACCCATGTAAGAGTGGAGAAGGAATATGCTTACACTTTAACGGTGCCTGTTGTAAGAGACGACTATTTTTCCTTTCTTACAAATTGGAAATTGCATGGACCAAATCTGATCGGTTGCTCCCATTTTGTCTCCCTAAACACCTGTCTTCATATGACCCTTTCTGTTGGCGTCGCCCTTGACAGCCATCGTCATACTAATCTTCCTGTTGATGTCTTGCTAGACAACCATCTTCGTTCTGAGTGTTAGGGATCCCTGAAGACTTTACGTCTATCTAGATAACATTCTCTGTCTGGCTGTTGGGAATCCCAGCCAACTTTATAACGTCTTTCGAGAAACCATAATCGTTCTGGCTGTTTAGGGTTCCAGATAACTTTGTAAGTGAACAGCGTACAGACCTCGTGTAAGCCTCCTTGTGATGGTGCGGTACTGAAGCCGCCTTTATAGTGCCATCACACCGAATTTCGCTGCCGAACGCTCATAGCAGGACACCCCAGTAACATAACGCTACCACAATACTGAACGTTAAGCAAGGAGGCAGCACCTTTAAAGTATGTATGTCTCGGCCACCGGATAAAACTCGTAGTCTTCCTCTCAAGGGCGAACGCTTAGCTAAAGGACGGAAGGGAGTTTGTGTCAAAGTAGAGAAAGATCAATAGAAATGAGTGAATTTATAAATATCCCGAGTTGTGTCGCCTCTCACGATCATATAACGGGGACAGCAGGTACACTTCTTACGCCCTACCTGCAGGGCAACAGCACCCAGTACCGTCGTAAAATCGTTATACTGATCATAGACAAGATTACTCAAATATACATCCTGGGTCAAAATAATCAATTGCCTCTTACAAATGCAAAATGCTTACACAATGTTAGCAATATCTCAAAAGCAAAGCTCAATTAATTTCAAACAGCGCGGGCGTTAAAATAAAATAAAAACGATTTTTCTACGTAGGTCTTGAAAGCGTGATGGAAAAATACGAAAGGGTGATTTAGATAGACATACACTGGTGTTTCGTTTGTATGAAAACTTTCCTAACTAAAGACACTTAAAATACAATAATGGCGTTTAATAACCTGAATACAGAGAAAGCAGACCGTCGGACAGTAAATGACATGTATATCCCGCCAAACGCTTTCAAGACATATAGACCTATATGCTTAATTGTGTGAGTATTGTGCCCTGAAGGAAAAGGCAGCTAGTTATCCTTATATTGATGTGTCCAGTTCATGCGAAACATATGGAAGCTGTCTTCAAATGAAAGGACACAGGACAATATTATTGTCATCTTCTTAACGGTCCATCAACGCAGAAACGGTCATAAATGACCAGTAACTGTTTGACTATAAAGATCTACAAGGAAAAACATACAAAAATCATTGAAAGAAAGATGTCGAAATCGTTCCTTTAACGAAGTGGATATAGTGAACTGTGTTGTAAGAGAACAAAGCAATATACATAAAAACAAGCTAGCAAGCAAAGTATCATGTATTTGTAAATGTGACATTCGTCTCCTTTTTCCTATACATTTCAACCTGATATAAAGATTGAATCCATAGTGCACCTCCAAACAGTTCGTTTATTTTTTGATGTCCTTGCGAGAGGCTTGGACATAGACATTTTAAGACTATGTCAGCGGATGACTGGGCTACTTAAGAACGTTTTTATAGTGTCATCACACTGAAATACCATAGCCTAGCAAAGAATAACGCCAAATCCGACCACATTATAACCGAAGTGTTATACGATCAGCATAGTACACGGTTCTTCAATTTAGATTAATGGTTTATTAAAGCGGGTTGTTGTTTTTTTAACTTTCCAACACCATGTTTAGGTAATTTGAAGATGGTGAATGAGGCGAAGTGATAGATCAGTCAACTTCCTGTTCATATCGCTTGTACACTGGCATTTTATTGTGAATAGGTTGATCAGTTTATGAAGTCTTGTGTAGCCAAGTCTGTGTCGAGCGCCAAAGACACTACTACCCTTTTTACAATCTATTTGATATATCAAAGCTGGGTGAGAGAACCAATTATCCTCCTAAATGCCAAACATAGGGCAATGTTAAGGATAAAACAAGTGGTTAGAAAGTGATATATGTAAAAATCCCAAATTTAGTCGTTCAAGCGACCATTCAAAAGACAGTGGGTATAATTTCATTGTAAAAACACCATATACATGACCGCATGTGCAGTCCTTCAAAAAGACAGCGTCATGGCTAATAATTCACTTACAGTTGGCATTTTCAAAATGATGTGAATTGCAATAACGTCCTTCTTCGCCGCTGTGGCTAATTCAAGATTGAATGTGCTTCTGTCTCTTTTTCTAATATGTCAAAATGACATTTTCATATCGAATTAACTAACATTCGAGGATGTTCAGACACTTATATATGCGGGTTAATACCGTGATCGGCCGCTTCGAGTAACTGCAGCATGATATCTTTACTTACGAAAGTCAAATAACGATAAATGTTTGAACTTAATCAATTTATTTTTCTTAATAATTCATGTGACGTGATCAAAGAAGGGGCTTAATTTCCTCGTTGCTAGGTAAAGATGGTTGATAATTCTATTATTTTAAGAAAAGAGGAAAATAGACATGAAGCTTTGGAAAACGAGAGGATTAAACAAGTTCAAATGATTAACTTATGCTTCAGTTGGAAAAAGAAGCTATGGTGAAAACCATTCATGAAGTAATAGATGATCTAATTGCAAAATGTTCAACGAGACCTCAATTTGATTAAAATATGGCAGACGATAACAAATGAAAGAAGAATATGACCTCATGTTGCGAAGATACGAGAGTCGTAAAGCTATTTGGAAGGGAAGACATTGAATATTGAAAACAAATAATTGTATTAGCAAGAAAAAACAATACAAGATAACTTCATTAATTCCCACTTCTTTGAAGATTTACACTTTCTCTATATTTACCTTACCAAAACAATGAACGCCTTCAACCTCCCAACCGCCCTACTTTTTTACTCTTTATCCCTTCCATTGCTGACTCCCCTGGTATTACAGTCCCTGTACACGACATTGGTCGAAAACACATAGAAAGGTCATTGTACTTTTTGTTCATTTTGAGTAACGTCCTTTTAAGAGCTTGAGTCATTTAAGGACGGTTTTCGGTGAATTATGCATTTAATGTATGGGATTTTGTGTAAGCCTCATTGTGACAGTACGCAAATGAAGCTGACTTAATAGTGGTGCGATACTGAAATATGTCTGTATACCAAAACCCCTTTCTTAAAACGACGATCTCTCAGCTTACGATCAAAAGTAAAGAGCATTGAGTATCTACGTTATCCAGATAGTCATTTGTTTTTTACGTCTCTTAATACACTGTAAACTCATTAATTTTCACGTGGATTAGTTTTCATTGATTTGATGGCTAATCTTAGTCCACGAATTCATATGTCCATTAAATAGTATGAGCTATTTTATAATTGTAACTGTCCTGGAAATAGGAATTTTTATTGAAAAAAATTAACAAAATTGAGATTCAGGAAAATATATGGTTTGACGGTATGTTTAGACACTTGCTTCGAGTGGTTTATCGACGAGTTCTAGATGTATTAATACATCGACCCTCCAATACATTGCAGTTAAGTAAATGGTTAAAATGAAGTAGAATAGTGGCAAGGTTATGCACACGAATTTATTAGATATATATGAAAATTATGAAATGCTGCATTATCGAGCTACTGGTCAACCTTTGGTATTTGTAAGGGCCCCAGAATTTTATTTTTGAGGTGAAAACTATATTTCTGTTATTCTTTTCGTACATTCTGGAACAGGTTCATACGCACTTAAATCAATGTCGACCTTAACATGGGTGTGAAAAATTGCCTTCGATAATTTGTACTGAGATAACATATTGATCAATCAGCGGGTGTCCTAACCCACACAATGCCGTTACTGTACCGTGAATATATATGTATATGTTGATGAAAGGAACTACGAGTATAATCGATAAGAGAGCAAGACTAACGGGATTATAGTTAACTGAAGCATCAGGATTAAGGTTTAGGCTACTCTTGTATTCCATCCTGCACCAATCTCGTTTTTTTCTTAAATCTATTGGTAACTATCCGGTTGAAATTATTAAAGCTAAAATTTTTCAGAATCTCAAAATGTCTATTTCGCAGATAATGTGGGTGTCTAATTCTATTGAAGCTTTGTTGTACTTAATGATTATTCACCCATACCTAACGTAGGTCTATCATCTTCATCTAGTACCAGTATTGTTGATTCTATGAAGTGACAAAAACATTTCTTTACAAAAAATGAACATTCACATTTAACTATGGACACGCGTAATAGTTGTTTTACAACCTCGGTGTCCTATAAGTATGGCGTAGAACTTGTACTTATCGTCTTTAAAACCACGTACCTATTTATAGGACGGTAAACAAACCAACTAGACAGCCTGGGCCCATTCCTATACCTCACTTTTTCATGACCTAAGGCTAGAGACAACACTGCTAAGTTCAATGACTGAATCCAAAGTTACTTAAGGACTTATTGTCCAAGGATGACCGTTTCTCCTTATCACTTCGAATACTATTGACTAAAACTCCCATGCCATTATATGGTTATTAAGGTCACGAAAATGATAAAAGACAGTCCGAGATTTGTTTTAAATTCGTTATCCTGCCAATTATACACTGAGTGTCTTCTCTTTCATAATTCCAAACCAGTGACCTAACAGTTAAGTAAATTTTCTCAATTGCTGTTTAGTTTTTTCATTAAAAAACCACAAAATCAAAACGCGTGACTAATTTATCAATCCCCCTCCAAAGACACTACAACATGTCAGGGTTTTTTACGAGAAACTATCGTAAGCATCAGTTGTGTCCTACTTTCCTTAATTACCTCTGACAGGGAAATTGTTTATATAATCCATATTGAAAACACCCATTTTAATCTTGAGGTAACTAACAAATGTACTTTTATCAAATCAGCCTCAGGACAACCATGATTTGAAAATAAGATTTTAATTACCTTTAGCACCCTTGTGGATTCTTTGTGTAAAACAAAAAGCAAAGTATTCCAAAGGGAAACTTACCATGTCATTCTGTATTTTTCAGATATATGGACGAAAACAACCTGAAACAGTCAAAAATATTTCTTGATCACGTGACGAAGTTCATGCAGGTGGTCGATTCAGTTGTGGATAGTTTGGAAAAACCTAAAACTGAAATTCAACAGACTTTGCTGATGCTTGGCGCACGACACGCCACTTTCGACGGTTTTGACATTGAATATTTCGCTGTGTATATAAAAGTGCTGATGAGCGTCTGGGAGACAGCAATTGGAGAGGAATTCATTCCGGAAGTGCGGGAAAGTTGGAATATAGTGTTTACTTACATTGTCCGATATCTCTGTCAAGGTTACGAACTTTATGTGCTGGAAAGTGAACATGAAAAATCGTGCAATGGTAATTCAAGTGTAACATAACATCTACTGTGAAGCATCATCATTTTCAACTGCACATGTCAAGTTCAAAATCGTAGACATGCTAAACAAAACGGAATGCAAATATCGAAAATATTTTATTTTTGAGAAATGCTGAAAAATAATCATGATATTAAAAAAACACCGCATTACTATGTCGAGAAGCATACCAATTTTTAGTAACTGATTCTTGTATGAATCATGAATCTAGTCTTTGATTGGAATGTTATGTGTGTCGAAATCTTCAATCACATGTAGTGGAATTGTATAAAGTTTCTTCTACGAATTCAATCGATTTGTTATCTGTTCCGTTTGTTGTTGTTTTGTTTTGTCTGTTTTTCCTTGTTGTTATAAACTGATGCTGTTGAATGAAAAGTATTCCAATTCGGATGTCACTGGCATATCTGGTCTGTTCAGTTGAAATGTATCGTTTCATGAAATGCCGTTTTTCCATAACACTAGATTGTTAAGATGGTTACACAACGTAGTTAGTATAACCCATTCCTTTATATGTTAGCATACATTCTGTTCCTTTGTTCCTATAAACCGCGGTCCTATATAACCGTGATCAGGACACGCTGGGAAAACGAATCTAATAAACAATCACAACTAAGCTAACTCAACATTAATTACAGACATAAATTCTTTATTGTTTACTTTAAGATATTTGATATGTTCAAACGTTTCAAACAATGCATCCTAAATTACATATAACCATAAGCATATATTTGAAAATCACATAACTGCTTTATACGATTCAATACACAATGCATAATAAGAATGATCATGAAATTAATTTTCATTCATATTAATTTTACAATATATGAATACAGTTTTAAAATCAATTAAAGCATAAACTCTCCACTCAAACACCTTTGATATTTACATCCGTGTTTATTATCAGTGTTTTCCGCTTTATTTCAATCAAATATACAAGTGAACGATCATCAAGCAAAAAGCTGCATTGCTCTTCAAAGCTCGGTTCTAAATCATATGACAATACTTGTATTTAAAACAGCATCTATTATTTTATCACGACATCGGTATAAACTTGGGTATTGTGATATAACTAAATCCACCATCTTATCACGACTGGGGTATAAACTTGGACATTGTCTTATAACACCAACTATCATTTCATCAAGGCTGATGTTTAAACCTGGACATTCTGATATAACGTCATCGATCCTTTCATCGTGGCTTGGGTATAAACCTGAACATTTGTGTATAACACCATCCACCATTTAATCACGGCTTGGTTATAACCCTTAAAATTCTAAATTGCAGTATTACGCTTTTGATGGATACAATGGACATTGTCTTGTTATTTTAGGACAAGAGGTCATATTTGTGACCTGTTTTTATCATTTCTTCGATACATTCAGCCTCGCATAAAAACAAAAACAAGTCAGCCAACAGAAGAGCACAGATAGTAACAATGAGTATGCTTTAGTCCGTTAGAGGATCTTACCAATAAACTCGAAGTTGTTAACCAGAAACCCGATCGTTTTTTTTTATTCCGTCCTCTGTATATTAAAGCTACTTGGATTTCTTTAAATTCCTCGTACCAGTTATTCCACTTGAGTAAACAATACCACAATAAGACTTAATTGATAGCTCGAAGAATATTAGTTGGTAATTTGGACAAAGGTTTGGTCGAACACCTAGACTAGCAAATAACAAAACGTTGTTTATATAGATAAATGTGAAGTTTTAGAAACGGGGGAGGTCCGTATCCATATCACGAATAGGCATTCCATATGATTGTAATAGCGAAGCATGTATTTCTGTGAAAAGATTGCATAATGAAAAAAATGTTTTTATTATTATTATTATTATTACTATTACTATTAGGCAATCCTAATCCTTTTTGTGTGCAGGAAATTTGATGAAGTCTAAAGACAGGGACCAAGTCATTTGACGTCTTACCTGCAGGTCAAGTGATATACCTGACGTGTAAATCGAGTAAAAGTGACCTGTATTTTTGTCAACAATTTATATTTCAGTCTGCTTATGCTTTCAAGAATAATGATTTAACCCACTCCGAAATTGAATCCAACTAGTTATGTACACCGACGAAACGTACGTGTTGTTAATTTCTCAGTATGATGAAGGCACACGGATAAACAGAATTTGACACAATTTGAAAAAAAAATGTCACCAAAGTAATAGCAGCGCAGCAATCGTAAGCCGATCAATGAACCATGATAAAATAGATATATCTGATAATTTTGGAATAACCTTGATAACATGTCTATATATTGAATCGTATCACTATTCGAATGAATTCAAGATTTGGTAGCATTCATTCCTAGGTGAGGATATATGTACTCTGCCATCCCTTCCGGTTCCTATACTTGCGTGCTTTTGTGTCTAAGTTATTGGCCTGTTCTGGTACTCCACTACAGTGTTTGTTTTGGAAGGAACTTGATTTCTGTCACTCCACCACAGTGTTTGTCCTGAAGGAACCTGATTTCTGTCTGCCTCGCTGTCCAAGGAATCTATCACTTGTCGCTTCATTTCAATTTTGTGCATGTTAATAACTATAAATTATCATTTGGGTCTAATATATGAATGTGTTTCATAACATCAAAGTCAGTCACATATTATTTTCAATACCAAAAAACTCTTTTCAAAACTTAAATCCTCTAAATGCTAGAAGAAGAAAATAGAAATACAAAAATCAAATTTGATACCTTTAGAAGCTCTCAAATTGGACTTTTTCTTTTTGTTTTGTTTTGAACGTTAACAACAAAGTAGGAAACGAAACATATTTTCTTGTATTTTACAGCTTGAATACCCATCATATATTGACGATGGATATAAAATGAAAATGTTTGTTCTATAAATCATCCCACGGGTTCAACAGTACTAAAATCATTACTAAATGTCTCTACGACATTTGCTTCTAAATGTCACGAAAATTATGACCGACATATCGGTATTTTAAAACCGGGTTAGCTAGCCGACATTTTGTTAAAGCAGGCGTAGCATGTGTATGTCCAAACAAAGATGGTCACCATTTTCTATTTTATCTCTATGACAGCCTGTCTTTCTTGTGTTCAGTTAGTGTCGACAAGAAAATCTCCATCGGCAACAGAAGTAAGTACACATTAAGGACATTTACAATGTTATATCATCGCTAATGTCCAGGTTCCTGTGATGAACCTTTGTATAGACAAGGTGAATTATCCGAATCAAAACTGTTAGAGTGTGGAGATAAATATGCTTTGTAAATTGTTATAAAATAATATGAACCATTCTATTATGACATTAAAACGAAGAAAAACATTTAATAGAATACACATGTGTAAATGAACTTCAAAAGGTTTATTGGAACCCCCAGTCCTTTTTCATTTACATTTTATGAAACTAGGCGCATAAAATCGTGCAATAATTGCCAATTAATTATAAATATAAAAAGGCTTTTATCTGTACATGCGTTTGTGTTTTTTAATTGCTTACCATGTCAATACTAAATGAATTAGGATAAGGCATTGTTACTTGAGAACGACAAATTCTGGTTTTCATAGATAAAAAATCTTTTTCAGCTTGACTTACTATGGAGCAAATATGGAGACGTCAGAAGCCAGTTGGCTGTGCTTGAATCCGAAAGATCAGCTGAAAGGGATAAGGTATTCCAGATGTATTTCACCGATTTTATAAGGTGTTTTGATCATGTAGTTTCAAATTGCAACGCCTACTATGATATTTCATTACATGATACTTTTAATTGACAAATGCTAGATTTATTTTTAGACCAGAGAGGTGCATGTTTATATTAGTATACACAACACGGAAACTACACTATAATTAAGACAATCACTACAAAATTCAAGAACCTACCTTCTTCACTAACAAGAAGCCAGACTACAAACATTGCTTTTATTTTCATTGAATTCAAATAATTGTTGCCTTCTCCAAACATTGATTGATTCGCTGTTTCAGATTCAAAGTTAACCTTGTAAATGATTGTACAAAACCCACAAGTGATTAACACTTTATATGCTATACTTAAAGGGCAACAACCATTACTATGATGTTCAACAGCCAATGACAACCAAATGAACAATACCTTTCAATGCACATATCAATATAAGAAAAACACTGCATCATACAGCTGTCTTCCTTTCTTGTTGGAACACCAAGTCAAATCGTTGTTAGTATACTAATTAATAAATTGATATGTCTTTTTTCTGACCTTATCCTGTATACACTAAGAGCTAAGATGTAAATTTTATAGTCTAGATAATCTAGTGTCTACAATTAATATCTTTTTGTCTTAGTTGGTATGACTACCAGCGTAATCTAGATGGTTATAGATATATATATATATATATATATATATATATATTTGTTAGATCGAAAATATTCAGCGCCGACTGATTGCATTGGAAGAAGCTGTAACTGACATGGAAGGGGAAATAATTCAGATAACAGATGACTTGAAGAGTATAGCGGCATCAAACACGGCTCAGGACGACGGAACTAATGTAAATACAACACTCTGTCTTATTGTATCTTTTCAGGAGTCTCCATAAAAATCTTTCTTCGAATTCGCGTATAAAATGATTCCAATCCAATTTTTGCAAGTACTCTATTCATTTCGTCATTTCGCTTCCCATTTTAATCCTAAAATATAAGTTCTTATTGTATAAGAAATTAGATTACTTTAACTGGTAATCAATATATTATAACGGATATGGATATTGTACAAAAGATACAGATGATAAGCGCCTTTCAATACAAATTCAAAGTTTGATACAGTAGAACCAAATTAACGAACATAAAATAGCTGATTCGTCTTTGTATGAATCGTCATTGATACTAAAGGCATTAATTTCGATGATGGAAATCGTTGATTGAAAAGAATGTCAAAATTTAGAATGGCATGAGCACTTCTTCTATGATTCAATATATGACTCACTATTGTCGATAAATATCAACTGACTAGACATTGACTCACGCATTCAAATATCTGTAATATATAGAATATGTATTAAAGATGAATAAGTCGTGTACCAAGTACGTGCTATGAATACAATGGAGCTTGCATGGAAATAATGCTTATTAATTTCTAAAACGTTTAATGTCCAGATTGACATTTCAGTTTGCGTTTTATTATTATTTTCATTACAGGCGACGGAACCTGCGAACTGGGAACCATTTCCATTTGCCCTGAGAAGAGGATCTATTCAAATGAATGCGTCCTACATTGTCCTTGCTGTTGACATAGAAACCAGCCGACCCTTCTCATACCTTTGGTTTGAGAACCGGGTTCCTATTCTAGGTAATGTCCAAACAGTTCCTTGTTATGTGGATAGATGAAGCTCGTTCAACTCTTTAATAAGCAGTAGATGCTAAAATCAAAATTTTTTTGACGTTATCAGAACTTGAGAGTCGGCAAGCATGAAATAGAGGGGAAGTACAAATAGATTTTCTTAGTTTTTTGACTCCGTATCCAATACTAGATGTAGAAGCAAAACAAAATACTATTTCTTTTTATTTGTAAATTAATATAAATGCATGACCATGTAAAAGTAATTTAATCGATTATTGCACTTGCATTCAAAGTGTTAAAATCTGTAAGTCACATTTACATTCGAAATGTGTTGGATATATTTAACTTTTCAGTTCACCGGTTGATGGCCCTAATGACCTTTCATGTGTTAGCATGCCGATAGTAATTATAATAATAATACAAGATATCACTTTGATGGGTCATTCGCTTTCCTCTTGTATAGTAACAATCTAATTGATAGTAATAAAACGGTTGAACGGTGACTCCGAGTTCTGAACGTCTGATGACGGAATTTCACGCTATACCTTCTGCATGTATGTACACGGAGCTTCATTCCTCTTAATTATATACATATAGCTACCCCGTTACTGGCCCTTTCAACATTTGTTCACGAATGCGTTATTTAAATAATTGAATGGTCTGGGGAACCTTTTAACCAGCTTCTTTGTATTGTTTCTGAAATTAATGGGCTCTGTATACATCATACGGTGAAATTTGCTGTTCTCGAATAATACATGAATGTCGTTCAATATCGGCACAATTGAGATATGCCATGTGTGGGAACCTTCAAAAAATAATATTGTGATAATTTTGAATATGTGAAGATGTCAGGTGTACTTATTTGTCAGTGAAAATGTGCCCGGCTCTATGTATTTATCCAACCCTTCGCATATAATCTATGACCAGTCAGTGACCTAGTTCCAGATTCCACAATGTGCTTTATTTAGACAGATTAATTTGTCATTAGAAGGGGGTATTTCCACCAATTTCACCATTTTAAATTGATCTTAGGAAAACATTTTGTTGCTGACAATAGTTGCAATGGTCATTAGAAATTTTTCAACTTGTGCAGAACATCCTTGTAAATAGATGCAATCAGTTCCATCAGATCTTTCACAATGTGTCAAATGTAGGCATTATACGCAATTAAAGCTTTTAACAACTTTGGCCATGAACCTTTCCTGCATTCCTGTGTATATTTTTAAATCGGAATTTACATTCTGCCCTGTTTGTTTCCTCCCTTGTGATCTAGACAGGACATATTTCTCACTAAGGAATATGATTTGGGACACTTCTAAAGAATCTGAGTACAGGTGTTGCACAGAAACTGTCTTGCTTCCAGTCGAAAATCCATTATCTGCATTACTGATATTCCTGACCCTTGAACTTGATCCGTGACCATTCCTAATTAACCGTTTCAACAAACCTTTCAAAGGACACGAAATATCATTAGCCATGCATGACAACACTGGCTTAAAATCCTAAAAATGGTTCCAGTGCACAAGCTAGCAATATGAAAAATTAAAGTGTATTACAAGTTATGCTTTTGGTAAAATACGAGTTACATGTAGTTTTCTTTCTCCTTTGCTTCAATCTCTTGCACATAATTCACAAGAATAGGCCATATTTTAATTGATCTTTTACAAGCACATTCTTGGGCCACTTGTAAAATTTGAGAGGCATCTTTCAACTATCATAAATCCTAGAGAACTCTTCTAAATCCTCACGTCTGGATGGTGAATTTTTGTAAGGGAAGTAAATACTTCCCGGAAAGAAATCAAGAGATAATTCATTAGTTACTGTTCCAGATTTAATGCTGTTATGAATCGCATGCAATTCACAGTCATTCTTCAACTGTTTTGTAATAAGTTTATGGAATTTCCTGTTGAAGTTTGGACCATTCCATTTGAATTTATTTTTATTAGAATTCAGTTTGGTGTAGTCTTTATTTAAATGTTCTACTATATCCTCAGCTGTAACTTGACCAAAAAACTGTGAACCAAGATAGATATGAAGACTTTCATTCACCACATGTAAAATTCTGTGTTCTTTTACTGGCTATAAAAAGAACTGGAAGCAATCGTGATACATCATCATTCGATTTGTATGAACAATGTTGAGTAATTGTGTTAATGTTCTACACAATTTATACTTTTAATGGTTCAATTCAAGTCAGCCCCAAGTGAGAAATACTTTCTTCCCAAGCCCAGGCCGAGTAATCTTAGAATCTGCGAAATATTGTGGTTATTATTCTTTACTGAGCAAATAGAATTACTGTCGGGAAACGATTGGTTTGCTGGTTGTCAGTATAATGTGACTGGAGGGAGTGTGCTGCTGTGCGCAATTATTGGTATACTTCATTGTGGTAGCACTATAATTTGGTATCGGTCCCGTACCATCAAAAGGTTTAAATGAACATAACGCAGCCTCCTTCACACGATCATTTCGCATTCATAGAAAGGCCGTCTATAAATGACAATAGCTGTTGAAAGAACGATTTGGTATGTAAAACTAAATATTCGACACCACTTTGTCTTTGCCTTAAAAGCTATTGGTTCTGTTTCCAAGCTGTGACATGTTGATGGCTATACAAGCGGCCATTCCTGACTCCAGTATGCCTCGAAACTGACATTATATAACTTTAGCTGTTTTCAGGAAAAAAGGAAACAAAACGATATGAGATACTTAACATTTTTTTCTGTCGTTTGCAGGTCATTAAGCAATCGAAATATTTTTTCTCATTTCGGCATTTCGGTTGAGATATAACAATCATTTTCTAAAAAGCCTTCAGTAATAAAACGTGTATATGCATTGGTGTGTAAATTTTCCCTTGGCATGATTAATTGAATTTTTTTTCCATTTTTATTTATCGTGCTTGGCATTCGAACGAGCAAACACTCATGTTTTAAAACAAGCTTTCGCATTGTGTTTCACCGGTTAATGGCTCTGATGACCTTTTATGTTTTGACGGATCGTTAAGAATGTAATAATAATAATAATAATGTAGGCATCAAAAGAGTTGTATTGGAGAGAAATGACAAATGAAGTTTATAAGAACTTCATAAGAGAACAAATATGTTATTCTCCAGTGATATATTGAACGTTCACTTACCCTAACCTTCACAAAATACGAAAACTAACAGATACATTGGATAACATAAAAAATAAAAAAATGTATTTTTTTTTTTTTTTTTTTTACCAGATGACGATTTGTTAACTCGTGTTGAATTCAGTGGAGGGAATATACACACTTTGGAACTCCGTGGTAACCAGTCCTCTACGATCCGGAATGGACAGAAAGTAATATCTCTCCTGGTTAAAAATCATGATATTGCCATAGCTCTCCTGTTCAATGCCGCTAAACACAGTTTTCTACGTGTTTATGATTACACAGTATCCTACAGAGGTGGACAAGTCCATTCTCAATTCAACGTTACTTCCGGTAGTTTCGAATTACGGTCAGAAATGCTTAGAAATAAAGACATCAGTTTGTCACTTGGCTTTATGGGGCTCAATGGAAACCAGACTTCTTATAAAGCAATAACAGCCGGAAGTTGGTTAGATTTGGATGGGAAACTAGCTTCTCGTGGCGGGATACTCAATGTTACCAATGGTTCTTTGCTAGGTGATACTTATAGGTTCACATACGACCTTCTTGAGATGGACCACGGAGGGTTATTATCGTGCTTTATTAATGTGAAAAGACTTGATGACGTGTTCAAAAGCGTTGAGTTCCAGATTTACGACTCGGACATTTTGCGGCATGGCGGTGCTACGTTGCCCGAGGGATCATTAGTTTACCTAAAAGACTTCTTTCCCACAGAATTCAAACTTGGCGTCGGGGATAGCAGTGTGATACAATGTGTGGCGATGGGTAATCCACCACCGAGAATGGCGATACTAAAACTTCACCGAGATGGACACGAGTCGATAACCGGATATGCGTCGGTTGTATTAAACAGAAAATACGTCACTTCAGTAATTCTCGTGATAAAACCCACCGAACCGGAAGTTGCTAACATTAGTTTTGTATGTGCTGCCACATCGAATGGAGTAGAACGCCGGCTGTCGTTACCTACAAGAATTGTTATTCCTCCTAAATTCCTGAAATACGAGGTTCTTCGAGGACCAGATGAAAATGTGGGTTTGATTTACTGAAAGTTGATTTTATAATTGAAGAAGTTTAATATTGTATCGATATTTGCTGATAGTGATGAAATGCTTTGAAGATTGTCTCATAAAACAATAAAAGAATGTGTAAATAAAATCAGGCTCTAAGCTCGGGTCTTCTGCATCTCTACCTATGTGTTATATTCTTGTTATTGTAGGTTGTGGTTAAGCTGTTTGTGAAACGTTCAGATCCCCCTAAACCCGCCGTCAGCTGTCGAGAGAATGACGACTGGGGTGACTTCATCTGGGGAAAATCCCCAATGTACACGGCCAATGAGACCTCAACAGATACCGGATATACAGTCACTTTCAATGTCAACATGGCTGCAACTTCTACTCCACCTACCAAATTTGTCTGTCAGGTCATGAGTGTCAATGGCGTCGACAGAATAATTGTACCAATTCATCTTTAACACAAAGTATTCAAAACCAGCCATGTAATATCGACTCAATGTAACTGTAATATCATCAATTTTCGCGGGAGATTTATTTTCGTTGATATGGTACGCTTTTTTAATCCACGACATCATATCTGCAAGAACTATTAGCATCAGGCTTATTGAGCTGTATTTATCAACGAAATCAAGTGGGGTTTTATTTGTAAACCCAGGAAAATTGATTATCACAAAAAAAAAAATGATTTGACAGTACTTCCCCAATGAAGCCTTGTATTTTGGTTTAGAGAAAGGATAAAGTGAATGACATTTTATTCATTTCAGAAGGAAAGTATCACATGTCTGATCATGATTGCAATAAAGGACAGAAACTAAAGCTGACTGCTTGGTACAAATGTTTCAACCTGAATTTAAGATATTTCCAAAGAGCTAATAAATAAGTTTTAAACGTAATAACATAACATCAGAATTAACATCAATTAAAATTTTGAGAAGGTTTGTTCCAGATCAAATCTACATTTTTGTTCAGTTTTTTTAAGGAGATAAAAGTAATATCGTATACAAGAGGGTCTTATTTTTTCTTTTTTGTCTTGTAGGCTGGATGGGATAAAATAATTCTTTCACAAAATAAAATTTCAGGATTTTTTTAAGGATTTTTCTCTAATATGCATCTCCATGTACAGTTGAAACAATACACTTCTGCCTGACATGAAAGGTTAACAGAGGTAAAAAGGTAACTTTCTGAATCCTCGAAAAATTCCATCTCAAGTCAACACTACCGCTGGGCGGAACAATATACATTCTCCCAAACCCAGAGAGAAATTCATCATTGTATTATCATTGTATCATCATGAATGAAATAATGAAAGGGAACAACATTTTCACAATCATTTCATCATAACAAAATATGTAACTGTGCGTGTAAACAAATAAGACAACTCGTCTTGTACTTGTTAGTGTACTGATAAGCGTAAGGGACTGCAACAAAACAAACATTAAGTCGCGAATACACAAAATGACAAATAAAGAAATCACAAACTGACTCAATCAATCAACGGGTTAACCTAGCGCTATGAATAAACTATAACGATAAACATGCGTTACTCAGTTGACGTAAACTATTAATAGCATCATTATATATAAACAAAATCGCACATAATTTACGGTAATTACACATATTCTACGATTTCACAACATATAAAACAAGTCGTCTGCTGAGCGAAACTGCTTGAGCTCGAGTATGGAAAAATAATCACTTCATGTACTTGACTTAAGATAATACATCAACAAATAAACATGCTACAACCTAACGAAACTACACATACACTTTGGTTCAACACAAACATGTTGGCGATTCAAGATAGTTCAATTAATCAACAAGTATTAACTGCGATGCTCGGCTACGATTTACAACTAGCGCGGCGATTTTCCTAATAAACATTGAACTATCTTCTACACTCTGGTAGCAGTAAACAGTTAATTTGCATTTTTCCTGAAATTATTTGTCATGTTTGAGATATACAGGTATAGCAGATTGGTTATGGAAAATACATCATTACATGTATATACATTTATAAACTATATAACAATTACATTAACAGTAGAGAGATGAAATTTGTGTAAAAAAAATAATTTCCTCTGATTTCTGACATTTGATTGTCATGGTTACCTACTGAAAAAATGCTAAAAATGCAAAAAATACTGCTAATTCCAACCCAACACTACAACTTTCTAGGAGAAATTTAATTCTAAACACCTATCTTACAATCAACAACACTGTCATGGTAACAAAGTACTTACATTTCAGCAAATTCCAACTCGGAAATTCTTCATAACATGACCACATGTGAACACTATGAAAATTTCACTTCCTGTAAAGCTAGTTTTTGGTGCGTAGACACAGATTCGAGACTGCCCAAATAGTAATCTCCAACACAAAGCTAAAATATTATCCTGAAAAAAATGAAACCCCACATTGTCCACTTTAACATGACAGGACCAATTTTAGCAAGGATTTTTTTTTCATTTTTAATTAAAACCTTTATAATGGGGTAATCTAATGAGCAAAAAAATCACCCATGGCCACACCGAGAAACCGAGAAACTGTGTACTGCTACCAGAAGAGTTCTAATAAAAACCAAGAACGATAACTCTATACTACAATTAATTACAAACTACCTGGACCAAACTCTAGATAGTTGTCCAAGGGAGATAACTCTTATTAAGTTACTGACAAAACTTTCACTAAACAGTGATTCAGCTAAATACAAAAATGTCGTTTAGTAGTAAATCACAATTTTATTCCATGGTTATTAACCCTATCAAATTTCAAAAATATAGGTTAGAAATCGAAAAACTTGTCAGGAGAGAAAACAATGCTGACAAAAAAACAAAAACAAAACAAAGGTGAATAACTCTTCCATAAAATTCCTCAATCAAAATGCCGTTCAGGAAAACTATATTTATGTCATAGTTCTTAAATCTATACAATTTGAAAACAGATCACATGGCAAAATTAAGATTACGAAACAACTTTATCAAATACATTGTAAAATTGAATTAAATTGCCATTCAGGAAAACACCGCTCCGTAACACCGGGAAACCGTTCTTAAATTACCATACGTATTTATAGAACGTTCAGACATACAGATCAAACCATCTTCATGTCATTGTGATTAAGCTAATTAAGATTGAAAGCTTAGAGAGATCTCCGACACACAAAACAGTTAATACAGTTAACGACGCATGGACGGGCAACACCATACCATTAAACGACCCGTTAAAATGTTGACGTACGTATAAAAACAATGACACTTACTTCTTCCAAAAAGCGAATTAACAGCAAATCTGGTATTAGTATATAATTGTTATTTTCCTTGCGGAAACGGACAACAATTGATGGATATAGAAAGGTTGTTAAAATAAATAATATTATACTATCAAACCAATATAAAAACATAAATAGATAAATAAAAGAGCGACATGATCAAAATACCGATTTGCATGTGCAAAGCATAGACAACCCAACTGAAATTTGCAGTTAATATACTCAAGGGATAAAGAAACGCAGGGTAAACTTTGAAGATGATTCTAAGCAAGACGTTGAGCATAATGTTCAATATTTTAAAGTAACAAACTGCAAAATCAACAATTTGTATCTGTAAGTGATTAAGAGCTAATTGAAGAGAATTGAAAGAGAGCTCTGAAATCGAAATGGACTGATTGTGGGAACAGGCCAAGCATTATCCTGCTGGAATGTGAGGTTGTTTTGCTGCAATAATGGGACAACATGGGGTCGGCTGATCTCATCCTAGCGGAAGCTAAATTACTCACGAACACAACCAGTGGTGATTTAACTCCATGTCAGATTCCTCCCCACACTTCCTCAGCCGATCCACCCTCAAACATATCTCTACTGCAGTCGGCAGAACGTTCTCCACGACGTCGGTATACACGACGTCGACCGTCTGCTCGAAACGGGGTGAGCCGGGACTCATCAGTAAACTAGACCAGCCTCCACTGCCACAATCTGAATATTCTGGGGGCATGTGCCGCCACCCAAGCCATACGACGCTGGCGACAGCAACAGTAAGGGGCAGACCTTCAAACGTATGATGTGCCAGCAACCCGCCCAGTTTCCATTAGACGTCTAACAAGACAATCTATAGTGCAAATATGAACACCGAAATGTCTGGCAATCTATATTTACCTTTGACTTTGCATAATCATCACAATTGCCCTCTGAACTTCCGTCAGCCGTGCCATTGTTTAATGCTATCAGAAGTTAATCAAAATATTAGAAAATGATATGTCTCTATGAAGACTACCAAATGGTTTGAAGAGCAATGTAACTTAATGTCAGAACACTGCTGTGCACGAAAATTTCCCGTTTCGTGCTTCCCGGAAGACATCTTCACGCAATACAAGAATACATCATTTGGTACAGGACCACGTGCACTGTACCCTAGAGAGTTACTTGACCGATTTTCATTGTTTTTTGACATCGTGTTCACAGGATATTGCAAATAAAGTTACCCTCCGTATCTTTATCCTTTTAAGTATATAATAAGTGATATCATGTTGTACAAATGACAATTTCCCCTTCAACACGCACTAGTGAGCGTTATGGTATAGCGGGCAGATAAACAAGCTGCATTTATGAAAAGCTGTGGAATGAAAAATGACATTTTCATAAATCGTACATCAAATGAAAACGAATTTAAAACCTTTTCTCTCTCTTGGAGTATTATTCGTGCAAATATTGTACTCTATATTTCAATGCAATCTTTGAATGTGTGACGGTACAATACTGGTAGGTAACACATTTTACTACACATGGGGAAAAAATAAACAAAACATTTTGCACGAGTACCGACTAGCAAGGCATTAGACACTACAGGAAGATGTATTTATAACCGAAATCATTCACAGACGATGATTATGTCTTTCAATAACAGGAAACAAATGCAACACTATGTTGTTTACAAAAACGGAAAATAATTTCAGTAACCGATTTACTTTCGAAGGAATTTAAATTACATACGAAATGTCAACACCTCAATTTTGTAATTGTGTTTAAAATAGCATGAACGTTTAACATTTTGAGTTGGGTTTGACTGAAGGCATTTTCATGATTTCGTTACGAATGAGTGGTTCTGTTTAGATGGAGTATGTTTACAACATGGCCTACAGGATTGCACTGGCCAGTTTACTGGTCATCGCACTGCACGTAACCCCGCTGACGTCCAGTAAAACCGCTGTCATTCAAGGGGAGGTAAGTCATCGCAGAAGAAGTCATATTCTATACAACGTGCTAAATATCTAGAGAAAAAACAAAGTGAAATATATCAAATCATTATTTGTAATAACATTGTTACACAGATGGTTCAAGTTTTCTTTTCCATGTCGATATTATCAAACTAAAAAGTGTTTGTTTTCTATATTTAGAGTTTATCTCAATCATTAAGGTGATGCGATATCAGTTATAAATATAAATAACATTAATGTGTTTTGTTTTGTCCGCATATTATTTAGCAAATATTCTAGTGTTTATGATCACTTCGCTCTCTGCACCCCTGGAACATGTCATGGCAAAATTGAAGGTTCTATTGGCGACACCTTGTGGACAAGACAATATAACTAATTTGATCCTTTGATGTACATCAACGAATCTCGCATGATCGTATATTGTAATGGCTTTGGTTGGGTGTCGCTCCTTTGTAATTTTCGGAAGGAGCGCATCAGTCATTGATTGGTCAGGTTTTCTTCTCCTGGAACCAATCAAATTATTTCGTTTGTGCTTTCCATTTTAACTATTACACGTTCTAGAGGTGCAGAGCGCGGGATTGTTAGTAACCCCTGTAGTATCAAAGAATGCGGATTTGTTTGAAATGTTAAATAATATCGTATTTGTTTATAAAAAGATCAATGATATATGGACGAAGTACGGAGAAGTCAAGTCTGGATTGGACGCATTAGAGTCCCAGGTGGAACCAAGGAAAACCCAGGTAAACATGTCCACTTCCTAAGTCCTTGGATAACCCTACAGATAAAACGTCGTGTTCATATAGTTACGTATTACTGATGCAAGGACATAAGTATGTTTGAGGTTTTACGTTCTCAAAACAGCCAGGACATATCAGCTATATTGTGAAACGTGTTTGTCCATCGCCAGTATAATGTAACCGTATGAAATTTTCAGGGTCCCATCGACAGTGTACTTCAGTGTGATAGCACTATAAAGTCGGAGTCAGTTTCGCACTATCATAAAAAAGGTTTACACATATATCGCAGCCTCCCACAAACACACATACAAAACACATGTACTCATTTCGCATACATGGGAAGACCAATTCTTTATGATCTTAGATGTTGATAAGACGTTAAACAATATAAAACTTTCCCCAAACTCCACTTTCTCATCTCTGAGGACACTATCACCTGATCTCTGACGTCACAATGCCAAGGCCTCTATCTTTACGAATAGGAAGCCGTCCCATGCATGTGTTAAGCTCCGATATATTGTTATTGTTTTACCAGTAAAGATGTTCAGTATCCGATTGCTATGTAAACATAAGAATAACTGACATTATTGTAATAATAATATTAAACTTTTTTTCATTTACAGATTGAGAACATAGAGATGTCGATGACTGAGCTCGAACAATCATTAACTTCAATTCGAAAGGATGTTTCTCGCTTGAAGTCATCGGTGAGACGAATAAAAAAGAAGAGTTCTAATTCTAAATGACAGCTGCACTCGGCATGGATAAACGTTCACGACTCTTACGCAGACCTTTGCTACCAGTCTCTGCCTTAATTTCTCACATGACATATTTTGAATTCCGTTTCCTTAATCTAAAGCTTTTAAAAGCAAACCATGTACAGGTTACGGACATCTCAATCAAGAGGGATCGTCTAAAAGAAATACGCCTAAATTGAAATAAATGATATATGTATGGAAACACCTACATCTGAATTAGTTTTTTTTCATCAATAGGGTTGTTTTACCGTATATCTATACTTATATTCATAACTACAGGTGACATTCACCTGTGTGTCTTTTTAGGACATTCTTTTTCTAGTCGTTCCTGTAAAGATGTCCTGGCAGTTGATTAATTGCCACTGCGCATTTGTATAACGACACCATATGGAGACGACTTTCTGATTATTTGAGAAAGGATTTCTTACCGTCATGATTTTAACCTGGGCCCGTATTCATGAAATCATGTTCAAGCTCAAGCATAGATTTTGTGCTCAAGCAAATTTTTTTTATAATTCGCATAAATCATATAAAATAATACAAATGTCAATTATAAACGTTGAATATAACTTTGACCTGGAGTCCTTTTTTTAAATCTTTGGCAAAATCAGTCTTATATATTAATTTTTAACTTAAACAAGACATAAGGCTTGAGCACAAAATTCGTGCTTGAGCATGAGAACGGTTTTTTGCGTGGTTATTTTAGGACTGATCCCTTAAGCGATGGTTTTGCGTAGTTATTTCAGGACTGATCGAAAAACAAAATTGCTGCCATGCCACTATTTTGGTTTTCACAGTGTAGTCTGGAGAAGTAATGAATGGTCATTCTAATATTACATATGTAGGTACTACTTAATGCATTGATATGCACTGCAAATCTTGGGATTGATCGGGAAAACGAAATGGATGGCAGGCGGCCATCTTGGATTTTAACTATGAATGTTTATCCAGTTTTCTTATGAAGTTCTGATGGACCTTTTTCAAATTTCGTATTTAGGTTTTCAACGGTTTCCCTTTGTACACTTGATTTCGGGAATTATTAGAAAAGGTAACCAACGAGGATTTTCACAATGCAATTTTGTTATCGCTCTTTCTCAGCCTAAACTGGTTGGATAAATATTACATTTTACAGAACTGATCAAATGACGGTCGGGCAATAATTACGAGTACCGAATACATGTTTATGCAAGGTATACTTAAAAAATGTTTCGGTTTAGAAGAAAACAGTTTTTACCGTGTGCAGAAAGTTTAGGTCACCATGAGAATATTTTGATATCAATTGAAATAAATTTAAGGTACTACCAATGACATCGCGAGCGTGCGACCATTATGACATCAGTTTTGTGGGGATAAAAACGGGAATGGTTTGCCGTTAAAATGGATGAACCGTATGACGAAGTACACTTTCGATATTGATTGTTAGTTTGATTGAAATCAAGTTATGATTGGTATAAAACAGCAATATAGAATAGTTCTTACAACATAATTAGTAAAAGATTTGAGTGTAAAGATTCGATGACTACACTTTCACTTTCATCAGACAAATGACCAGCGTGGAGCATACTAGCACTGACGTAAGGTGTGTACGAGATGGTACGGATATTCCTATGTACACTAAGGTCGAAAATAGTGTGACGAGATGGTAAACAGATTAAAGACCAAAATATGCACTACATGGTAACCATGTACTGTAGTCAATTCGGCAACACTATGTTTAACACTTGGTCTAAATGTGCGATAGTCTTTGGCCCCAATTGTCCCTATTAAGTACTGGCCCGCTGCGGCGTATCCAGATGGCTTCCTTAACCAACCGTCTGAAAAAGGTTGTTTTCCCTGTCGACTATTTTGTTTTAATTTTCCCAGTCAACGATATGATTTTGCCATGTGGAATAATCTGTAAGTGAAGATTTATTGATCTTGGTATTCCGCGTCTTTCTGATGTTCATTGAGTCGAACCCCGAATCTCCTGCCTGTTTCTCCGTTATATGATGCGTCGCAGTTTTTGCATCCGATTTCGTATACACATTCTCCTAAAATTTCTTTAAATGACCAAGTGTTAAACAAGAACCTCTATTCTATTGACATTATCAACCTAAAGAAAATGTAAAAAAAACCCCAGCAATTTGTCTAGAGAATATAAATATAAACGCTGAACTGTTATGCTATGGCATTTATGGTGTTTCTGAATGACAGAGCTTTGCTAGCAAATATATAATTGGCTGCAAAACGCAGTAATGCTCAGTGTTATTGTTATGGTTAATTTTTCATTGACTGATACAATACTTAATTCAGTTTTGAAACATTAGTTCTCAACACTATAGCCAATCGTTGATCTAACAGCAGTCAATGCGGTCCAGCGGAAGTTCCGCGACATTATGACGTCAAATGTTCTTTAATATTATGACGTCATAATACCTTGTTTCTATGTATGCTTAAAGCATTTCGCAAAAGCAGCTTTGTACATTTCTCCGCAAATCATGGGATGCACATACACAAGGACGATCGAGTTTGAAGAAAAACCAAAGAGAGGCCGATTGAGGGCGCTGTTTGGAAGGGATCACAAACGTAACAAGGTAATTAGAAAACAAAATGCTCACAACAGTTGTAATTTTGTCAGACAGGAAGCTCTAGCAGACAAGGTATTATGGAGACGCTCTGAAGCGATGTAGTCAAAATATGTTAAACGTTTCGACAAAACAATAGGAATCCATTTCATATCTGGACTTTATCCAATTTGTGTATTCCATTTCCACGACGCCAAAATTTCAACAGTATACTTTGTCAAATATCTGAAGTACATTTATATATATGTCATTATCTTCTATATAATGTAACCTCAATAGACCGAATACGTCGGTTTCATTGATTTTTTATAGAATTCCTCTTTCATTTTAACTATGTAAGAAAGTATTACGTACTTATCAAATCATTTATAAAAGTCCAGTCACATTATTCCAGACTTTCATTCCCACTACAGGTTCAAACCATTCATATTAGGAATCCTGTTGGAGTTCCAGTCAGTGAGGGCACACCCATGTTAGGTTTGTCACGGAAGACAGAGCAGACTGTGCTTATGCAGCTGAGAGAGGAGGGGATCATTCCTAATAAGGGATCAGGAGGCGTGTCATTCACTGTAGAAATAAATGAGGAAATTCCAGACAAGTCAACCTCAAATGACGCCTATAATCAACTACCTGGAGTTCCACAATACACACAAAATAAGATAAAATCAGTCTCCTTGCCTCCTCGAAAGTTACCTCCCCTTACCACCAGAAGTGTTGTTAAACTGCCTTCCAAAACACGAGAAGCAGACGCAGATGTTTTGAGGGGCGAAGAACTACGACGGAAAGGAAAAATGGCTCGACTGTCTGATCACCGACGAGAATTGGCGGCAGTCAAAAGAGAGGAAAGACAAGCAGAAAAACGGAAGCGACTGGAAGCAAAGATGATGAAAAAACTATCACATGAGAACGACAAAATTGAAAAGGTGAAGGTGGATGAAAAACTGGAAAGGGCACGGATCTACAGAGAATTGAAGGCAGAAGAAAGACGGGAGAAAATCTGTAAGAAATTGGCTAGAATTCCAAGTACAGAGAAACCACAGAGGATATCAACAGAAGAGAAATTAGAGCGTGCTCGAAAGAACAGAGAAAAACGAATTGAAGGAATGAGGGAGAAATGGGAAAAGAAAGAGAGAAAGATCGAAGCAATTAAAAGAAGCAGAAGCGTCAGCACACCTTTACCATCGTCATTTAAATTAGAAATTTAGACGGCGAGGGTTAAGACAAAAAGAAGAAGAAGAAGAAGATGATGATGATGATGATGATGATGATGATGATGATGATGATGATGATGATGATGATGATTTAATAAACTTGAATTGCTTTCTTTACAACCGCTGTTTTTTTTTATTTGTTATTTGTGTTCATAAGAATTATCCTTTTTATGAAACAAAAGGCCAAGAAGATCTCTTTCCTAACTTTGGTATTAATTCAAATGTATGGTTAAAAACGGAATTGGAGAAAGATTCGGTAAACCTCCTATTAGTGAAGGGAAATAACTCCTACAAATTGATTTTACTAAGTTAAAACGATAAATCAAGAAATAGATATTCTGACGTTGGAATTCATAATTGGCATTATATACGAGAGCATCAGGTCGGTGCTGAGACCAGTATATTCATGTTGGCTTATAAGGAAACTGATTTGAGATTGTTTTAGAAGTATTTTCGTTGACTGACTCCTCAATGCTTGTCTCTGTGACTAATTCCTTTGACGTCTATCATATCTCCTCTCATTCCCATGTGATGCTGAGATGGTAAACTCCATATACGGCACTGGAGTACACTGAATCTGATAAATAATGTTTTCACCATTTGATGTCACCTGGCCTGAAGGGCCAAGTAAGATATAGGGATACCGCTGCGTCCGGCGTCCGTCATCCCTCGTCCGGCGTCCGGCGTTCGGCGTCCGTCGTCCGTCGTCTATCAATTTTTCCTAAAAAACTACAACTAGTCATGAACGAGTGTGCGGATTTTAATCAAATTTGGTCTGAAAATAAATATGAATTTAAATTTCTCACTATAGTACTAACATTCTTTCAGAAACTTACACAAGTGTACAAGGAACTTCTATTGTTGATAAATTGTTTATGTTTTCAAAAATTCAAACCTATATTAAAATACAAACTATATAAGCCATTAAAACACACATTTTTCACTATCCTGTGTTTTCTTTGTTTCTAATGAATTCATTTACTTCTATAGAGCACGATCGTATTCATAAATAAAAGAATACATCACTGAATTCATAAAGGGAGATTACTCGTACCGTCTTTGCACTTGTCTTCGTCAACTGAAGGTAAGATTGATGAGTGCAAAATGAATATATTTTTAGTTCTACCAGCGGCGTACCGTGACCTGATTATATATGGGTACGCAAACTTGGAGCGCCGAAGGCGCAACCACGCTAAGGGGGTCCGGGGGCATGCTCCCCCGGAAAATTTTAAAATCTATATGCTTCAAAACGGCTTTTTCTGCATTTTGAGACAGATATACAATACCTTCTCGTGTTAAATTTTTGATACAAATTGGAGCTTAATTACAAATTTTAAATATGCGGACCAATTTATGTGTACGCACTTGCGTTTTTGCGTATAGGGCGGTACGCCACTGTCGACGCTTTTTTTTTTCTTGCAATGTGTTTGTAA